CAGCCACGGCTGCCACGTGTCCTCAGGCAGGCGTGATGCTCTGCACCCCGCAGCGGGCAAGCTCCTGGGCAGCACTTTGCTCCTCAGGACAAATGCAGCCCAAAGCCGTCCCTTGCCACGTGCCCTCCCGCAAACGGCAATCGCTGAACCTGGGGCGGGGTGGAGGACGATGACTTTCAGCCACCCAGCGTCACCCTCCATCTGCGCCGAATCCCGGGAAGGCCCCTGGTCGCTGGCAGCCGGCTGGGTGCTGGGGCGAGGCAGAGGCGGCAGAAACCCCCCGGCAAGGAGGGACGAGGGGTCCTGCAGCTCCCACCTGGGACCGCAGAGCCCGTGGAGAGGCAGAGCGAGCCAGGGCGAGCAGAAATAACGAGGAGCAAATTGTACCAGACACACAGTCTGCATCGTGTTTGATCTCACTTTTTATTCGTTTCTAGATTAGAAAAGAACGGAGCTATAAATACACGTGGTTCTCGCCTGCTGCATCTCAAGGGCTCACCGAGGGGATTCTCACACGTCATCTAAGCCACGAGCAGTCCCTGGTCCCCAGCAGCGGTACCGGCCCCCCCAGCCCAGCACTCGCCACCCCCCCGGGGCTCTGCATGGTAAGGAAGGGGTTAACCCTCCCACCACCCGGGGAGGCAGCGCCAGCAAGTGCCATTTTACAGATGGGCAAACTGAGGCAGGGAAGTGATGAGCATCGCCTTGAGCCGCATGGCACGTCAGGGAGACATCTGGGGAGCCCTCGGTGCCCCGAGGCCTCTCACGTCTACGGCCCCTCCAAAAATGCCCCTCTCACAGAAACAACAGCCAGGGGAAGAGGTGTGCCCAGGGACAACCCAGCTGGGGTCCCTTTGCAGAAGACAAGGGGGGGCCATGTCTGTCACGGGGTGGAGGATCACAAGGGGGTCAGGGAGCGGACTGGACGCAGCACTGGGGACAGAAAACCCGGCGAGGGGTCAGCCCAGTGCTGGCAGGGAGGGGCAAGGCGACCCCAGTCCTCACATCTACCGGCTGCAATTTGCGGGTCTCTAAACAGCAAACGGGACAGCGACTCTTGGGTGGGGGACAAC